GGGGGATGGGTTAGCCTGGTGATGGGTATTAAAGAGGGCACATATTGAATGGAGCACTGGGTGTTCTACGCAAACAATGAATCATGGAACATTACATCAAAAACTAATGATGTAATGTATGGTGATTAACATATCACAATAAAATAAAAAAAAGAAAAAAATCCTTCTATCAACCTCACTCTCATATATCTGCTTTCTGATTTTTTTTTTTAAAGATTTTATTTTTAAGTAATCTCTATTTCACTCAAAAAAAAAAAAAGAAGAGAAAAGAAAAAATTAGGGGTGCCTGGCTGGCTCAGTCAGAAGGATGTGCAACCCTTGATCTCGGAGTTGTGAGTGTGAGTGAAAGAAGGGGGTAAACGCCAACTATCCCAACATTGACTACACATTACCCATTTATGGACATATGAGATCATGTTCTGTATCCACTGTGTATGTGGCAGTGGAAAAAAGCTGAAGCACCACTGCCCTAAAGACACACTCAACAAACCCTATTTACCACCAAGGACCTAAAAGTAACAAGGATCTCTATACACTAATAACTACTGTCCGCTCTTATATCCCAAAAGATCCCAGAGGTACCCATGGGTATCCGGCCCTGCACAGCATTCTTAAAAGTATTTTAGTGGTGAATCCTTTGGAAATTACAAGTTATTATTATTATTATTTAAGGTTTTAGTTATTTGAAAGAGATTGAGGAGAAGAGAGAGCACGAGCACAATGAGAAGCGGACTCCCTGCCGAGAAGCGAGCCCGATGTGGGACTGATCTCGGAGTCCGGGGATCATGACCTGAGCTGAAGGCAGCCGTTTAACTCACTGAGCCACCCAGGCACCCCCTAGAGTTATCTCTCTGAGATTTCCTGAAGACAAAGTATACTGTGGCAAATCCAAAGTTTAGCATACCATTTGCTAAGACACAGTACCAAGGGTGCTCCTTCTTAAATGATAACGGCACCGAACAGTAACTCTCAAGTAGTGGTGATGTTTGCGCCAAGCCTTCCAAATGTGACTGTTTTGCGAACCACAGCACGACTGCAAACTAAAACTGTGACAACCAATATATTGATCTGTGACCTTAGTTTTATTAGCTTCATCATTTGCCTAGATGAGGAATTAGAACTACCTCAGGCTATACCTTTCATCAATTCAAATCAAACTTCAGTGTCTTCATAGGATTACCAGAAACAAGCTACTTCTGCGGATATTTGTTAAAAGTGATTACAGGGGCGCCTGGGTGGCTCAGTCGGTTAAGCAGCTGCCTTAGGCTCAGGTCATGGTCCCAGGGTCCTGGGATCGAGCCCCGCATCGGGCTCCCTGCTCAGCGGGGAGCCTGATTCTCCCTCTCCCTCTGCCTGCCACTCTGCCTACTTGTGCTCTCTCTCTGTCAAATAAATAAATAAAAAATATCTTTAAAAAAAACAAAACTATTAAAAAATAATAATAAGAAGAAAATAAAAGCAATTACAGTCCCATTTAACACCATAAAGTAAATACAAATACTGTATGTATAAGTACAATATATAATACATCTTCAGATTTATTATACACTGAATAAAACAAATCAGAAATAGCTATATTAAAAAAATGTCACTATGGCTTTATTTTTTTTTAGCTATCAATATCTTCCTGAACTATTACTTGGATATTGGTTATCAGTGCAACAGTGCTGTCTGGGGCGCCTGGGTGGCTCAGTTGGTTAAGCGACTGCCTTGGGCTCAGGTCATGATCTCAGGGTCCTGGGATCGAGCCCCGCATCGGGCTCCCTGCTCAGCGGGAAGCCTGCTTCTCCCTCTCCCACTCCTGCTTATGTTCCCTCTCTCGCTGTCTCTATCAAATAAAGAAATAAAACAAACAAAAAAAACCCAATGCTCTGTCTGTAAACTTTTCGTATATCTGTCAAGATCTTAGTCTTACCTAATACTAAAAAGATTATTTCAACAAATATTAAACTGCTAATACCTCATGATTCTCCTGTGACTATTCTACTTCTTAGCGATCCAACCAAGTCACCCACACAGTCTGAAAAACTATTCACCATCAGATGATAAATATAAATTCCCGGTGAAGATCAGAAGGGGATGCATTCTTTTATTCTTTCCAAGTTTCCAACTGTTAAATTCCAGTTAGTTAACACAGGGGGATGCATTCTTTTTTTAACATTTTTTTTTTTAAGATTTATTTATTTATTTATTTATTTGAGAGAGTTTGTATTAAGGAGTGTACATGAGAGGGGGGAGGGTCAGAGGGAGAAGCAGACTCCCCACTGAGCAGGGAGCCCAATGCGGGACTCGATCCCGGGACTCCAGGATCATGACCTGAGCCAAAGGCAGTTGCTTAACCAAGTGAGCCACCCAGGCGCCCAGGGGGATGCATTCTTAATTTCAGCCATAAACTTACCTTAAAAAACAAAGGGAGAAGCTGAAGTTGTTCTGTGACTGCTGTAGAGAAGGATCTTCCTGCACTAGCCATCAGCCATTTCAATACTATTTGAAAACAAACACGCAGAATCAGTCTTTGCTATGGAGTCAGAGAGCACAAAATAGAGTAACATTGTGGTGCTAATGTCAGAGAGCCACTCCAATAGCTCTGCTAACTAACTCTTCAATGTTGAGAAAGACATCAGCTATGTTACTTCATAAATTTGACACTAAACAGCATTATGACAGGAACCACAATAAAGGGTGTCAAAAACTAGGGTACTGAAGTCACTCTCAAAAAATGAATCAACAAATTAACAGCCTAACTAAATACCAACACCAACTACAAATTAACCTGCAATAATCCCAATGTAGCAAAAATGATAACTGAGTTGTTTATACTTAGAATGCTTGAAAAAACTTTAAATACAGAAACAACAGGACAGCCCCAATAACCAAGACAATTTTGAAAAAGAACAAAGTTGGGGGACTCACACATCCAGATTTCAAAACTTACTACAAACTACAGTAATCAAAATAGTGTGGCACTGACATAAGGACAGACATACAGACCAACGGAATAAACTAGCGTCCAGAAATAAACCCTCACACATATGGCTAAGTACTTTTCAGAAGAGTGCCAAGACTATTCAATATAGAAATAACAGTCTTTTCAACAAATGGTGCTGGGAAACTGGACATGCTTGAGCAAAAAAACAAAGCTGACCCTTAACTTACATTATATATAAAAATTAACTCAGACTGAATTAAAGATCTAAACTTAAGAACTAAAAGTTACAAAACTCTTAGACAGAAACTTAAGGGAAAAACTTCGTGACACTGGATTTGGCAATGATTTCTTGGATATGACACCAAAAGCAAAGGCCACAAAAGAAAAAATAAATTCGACTTCATCAAAATTAAAAACTTTTGTGCATCAAAGGATACTATCAAGACAGTGAAAAGACAACCCACCGAATAAGAAAATATTTGCAAATCATTTATCAGATAAGGGGCTGATATCATTAAAATATAAAGAACTATAACTCAACAACAACACTAACCACCTAATTCAAAACCTGGCAAGGGACGTCAAGAGACAATTCTCCAGAGATTAAAAAAAAAGGCAAATAAGCAAATGAAAAGATGTTTAACCACTAATCATTTAGGGAAATGCAAATCAAAACCATGGGTATCTTCACACTCATTTGGATGGTTGTTTAAGTCGTAAAAACAGAAAACAAGTATTGGCATGAGTATGAAAAAATTGCAACCCTCTTGTACTGCTGGTTGGAAAGTAAAATGGTGCAGCTACTGGGGAAAATAGCTTGGTGGCTCTTAAAAAAGTTAAACAGAGAATTACCATATGGTCCAGCAATTCTACTTCAATAGCCCAAAGAACTGAAAACGGACTCAAAACAGGTAACGTCTACATCACTGCTCACAGCAGCACTATTCACAGTAGCCAAGAGGCACAAACGACCTAAATGTCCATTAACAGATAAATGGATAAATAATGAAAACACCATGTAAAGTTAAAAAGCCCGACATAAAAGGACAATTACTGTACGATTCCCCTTATATGAAGTACCCAGAATTGGCAAATTCAGAGACATAGTAGAACGGTGGCTGCCGGGGGTGGGTGGGACAGACTGTAACAGATTAATGGGGACAGAGCTTCAGTGTTGCAAGATGAAGAGTGCTGGCGATGGACCACGGCGATGGCTGTACAGCAATGCCAATGTATTTAACGCTGCCCAACTGTAAACTTTGTATTATGTTCGTGTTACCACAAAAAAAAACACCCCAAAGGATAATCTAAATAAATGTCTATTTTGTTTTGTTTTTCCCCTGGTAGTAACTGTCTGTTTCTAAGCAAGTTCCTATTAATTTTAGCCACTCACTAGTTTTTAAGAGTTTAATGCCCTGAGTTCGCTCATCTTCTTCAACAATTCCATTTTCTTCCATAACATGGTTCTGAATTTCTTCATCTACATCCATGAGGGGTTTCAATTTCTCTAGAATTCGAGCAGTAAACTCAGGGACCCGTGGGGATGCTGTTGGTGCAGTGTTTGGCAAAGAAACATCGATCATAAATATGTAGGTCAGCACACTGTAAAATGAAATATGTAGAGTGAGAAGAGAAGCCATGTTATCAATAAAACTAAGGTTCAAAAGCGATGACCCAACCAAAGTAAATATCTGAACGATGACTCCTGGAGAGTCTCTTGCGCTGTGCCCGTAATTCGCAGGCACCTAGAACTGGCCAAATGTTCACCTCTGGCTCGTGAGCTCACTGCTGTTCTATTTTACATCAGAGCCTCTTGTCTAGTGTCCCAAACACAATATAAAACAAAATTTGAAGAAGAGAACCCATGACACTCAACAGTAACATAACCAGTATATACTATTAGATATTAAAATTTAATAAAAAAGAACTCAAGAAGTATACCATACCACAGGGAGAAGAATACCTACCTCCCTATTCTTTCCCTGACATTTTTGTAAACCTGGGTGAGTTTGGGTTCCAAGTACTTCAGTAGTCTGTGCAACAGCTCAGGTACCCTCCACTCTTGCTGGGCAAGGCCACCTTGCAGTACATAGAGTCGACTAGAATTAAAGCACAGCAGAGTTAGAGCCCTTCCCTGCCTTTACGTATGACAGTATAGACTAATGGAGTCTGTATTCTACTGAAAATTGCTACATTTTCTCACCTAATATTAAAACCGACAACTCAAAACAGCACCTTTATGAAGATCTTATTTTTACTGCATCATTTTCGCTGTATTCTCATTTTCTCTCTATTCCCACACAATCAAGAGAAATACTGACTTGAGAATACTCGTTGATTTCTTTTTTTTTTCCCCAAGGTTTTATTTATTTGAGAGAGAGAAACACAGCTAGAGAGGGAACACGAGCAGGGGGAGTGGGAGAGGGAGGAGCAGGGAGCCCGATGCGGGACTCTATCCCAAGACTCTGGGATCATGACTTGAGCCAAAGGCAGACGCTTAACGGCTGAGCCACACAGGTGCCCCTACTCACTGATTTCTAAGCATCAGAACCTTCCCCACTAATTAATAACAACAATAACTTATTCTTTATGTTAATAGGATTACCTAGATTTCCTTTTCTAGCCTACTAATTTTTTCCAACTCCTTTTATCCCAGCAAGAATATTTTTCCTTGAACGGTTACTGTTTTTTCCTAATAAGGAAGAGTGAAAAAAACGAGACAATGTGATGAGGAAGTTAGTATTGTCCTGGTATAAAAAAGCCGTTTCCGCTCCCTGCTCGGCGGGAAGCCTGCTTCTCCCTCTCCCACTCCCCCTGCTTGTGTTCCCTCTCTCGCTCTCTCTGTCAAATAAAAAAAAATTTTAAAAAAAAAAAAAAAGCCGATTCCAAGAGGGAGAAGGCTGAATCTAAATTATGTTCGAATTGCTCAGGTTGTCTCCATTTCTACTTCTTCCCAATTGAGAAATAACTCTACTTAGTATCATAAATTGTACTGAATTGGTTCACTCATCTCTCAGAAGAAAATAGTTACATTATCAGGCCTTCAGGAGTGTAGACAGTTCACTTCCATTTACACATCAAGAGCAAAGCTGTTATCTTTTGTTGCAAAATCTTTTGTTAACCTTCTAAATTCTTTTTATTTACCATGCATCTACAAAGGATCCTCCTTCACCACTCAATGGTGATTCTAACAGCAGCTCAAAAAGCCAATGAAGTTTCCGGGGATCTCTGCTTTCCTGTGTTGAAAATATAAAATAATAATTAAAACAGGGGTCCTATAATTCTGTACATAAATCAGATCCTGTTATTTTAGTATTATAAATAAATATAAGGGAAGAAAATCACAGTAAAACTTGTAGGTTAGTCAAACCCAAGTATTATAGTTCATGTTAGGAAGGCTGATAGTAAGGAAATTATTGTTAGCTAAAGGGACTGTCTTTAAAAGAAAGCATACAAGCTATAGACATATTTAGTGTGGAAAATAACACCTACTTTGTATCATCTGGCTTTTACTATATGTAAGTTACATTTCCAGATACATGATATGATTTGCCATTTAATCTAAGAATACATTACCATGACAGAGAAGATGTAATAATCACTTAAGAGTTACCACTCAAGGCTTATTTGAAAGGCTAAACAGAACCATCTTTAATTATATAAGATGACAAAACTATGAGGAAAATTTCAAGACTCAAGAGGTATAATGAGATCTCACAGATTTTGAGAAAAGGTATGGGACAGTTTAAATAGATCAGTTAAACACAAAAAAGCAGAACTTACACAGGATGTTGCTATACAAGTTCCCCAGTCGTTGTAAGTTTCTACCGTAATATTGGACAATGCTGTTCTAAGCAGTGGGCAAAGAAGCTGCCAAAGCTTCTCCACCTACTCAAAACAAAATATATGGGGAAAAGTTAATGATACTCAGAATATTTTTCTTCAACTGTCTTTTCCTGGAAATACACACATACAAACACATGACCTGATACTTATTTAAATTATTTCTTGGGACACCCAAATAATCTAGGAAAGTAACTTCACCGTATTATCATCATACCCACATATAAAAGTGAATTTTTTTCCCCAAAAAATTATTCAGAAAAGAGGAGACACCTTATATGGTTCCTTACAAAATCTTCTTTACTACTGAAAAGATTTTCTTTTAAAAATTCTGAGTAACAAAGTACACTGGAGTGAAACAAAACCTCAATCATTTTGTAAGTTTCACAGCTTACTGACGTCACTTGGTTAAGTCCTAATATAGGAAGCAATGACTTTTTAATACAACTTAGTATTAGCCTGGAGTATAATCTTCAAATTCCAAGTTTTGGATTACTATAAATAGCCTTTAAAAAGTGTTCAGTTATAGGGCGCCTGGGTGGCTCAGTTGGTTAAGCGACTGCCTTC